TAATTAATAATAAATTTGGAATTTTAAGCAACTTCCGCGCAAAAACTTTCGCCACGTCTACCGAAGCTTTAGCCACCTCGTATCGAAGGTATAAGACGTTTATTTGACAATAATTATTGTAAGATATCTATAGACAAAAAAGCAGCTTTGTAGATTGTAATTTAATCCCGGTATGAGTTATTATTCAGAGCGGCTTACAGTGAATCGGCGCAGCGACTGCGCTCGGGAGATCGTGCATTCCATTGCGTCTATCAAAGCTTTGCACCCTTAGATGATCGGTAGACTGTTTTTTTTGGTTCTCTTATAAACTAAAGTATTTGAGAAAAAAAATTCAGCCTTGTAGAAATAAGTCAAAAAAGTTAATTTTTCAACACCTTGCGTGGGTGGTAGACCCTTGATGGCCCCCCTTCCGACGCGGTAGACTATCACTATACTGTATTTTTAGGTATAATTGATCACTCTAAAAAGTTTCAGCCTTGTAGGTATAAGGCATTTAAGTATTATTTATTTACATGTTTAAAAAATTGTTACTAACGTTTGCCCCCACATTGGCGCGGTAGACTGCCGTTCCGTTTACTTACGATATCAAAACAACAAAATGAGAAAAAATCAGCTTTGTAGGAATTGGTGCAAAATTTCTGTCGCTGCCTCCCGGACTATGATGTTGAACTTGTGAACTTGTGTCAATTTAGTCAAGTCTGGTGTATAGTCAGTCGTTTTAAGACGAATACAAGCAAAAAATAAGTTATTTCAAGATTGACGTGCGCGCAAAAACAAAGTATGGAATGTTTTTTTTTTTTTCAGTTCCTTTATTACATGTTCTTGCCGTACATGCCAGAGTGGCTAGAGTTTTAGCAATGTGGCCAGCATGGATGACGTTTCAGCAGCTTTGCGGACTGCCTGCTAAAGTTCCCGTTACAGCCTTAGCACCTATCGAAAGAGAAGTACCGCTTTTATTAAGGGATCCTATTGCCCTGCTTTTACAATTCGTATTATTGCTACCATTACATTTAGATCAAAGTAAGTATTCATGTAATTTGAAATTATACTACCATTTTTTTTATAAAAATTAACCAAATTATACAGGGTGTTCCTAAATGTCGCAACGGAAAACTGTAAATTCCTCTTGAAAGAAGAAACATTTTTTCCCCTCTTCCATTTTTCTCTCGGGGCTTTTGTTTTTGAGATACACGGGTCAAAACTTTAATTTTTTTTTAGTTTTTTGCCAATATCTTATGAACCGTTTGAACTATGGGACTCAGCTTTTGTACACACATTACCACTATTAATAGCTACTTTTTTTGCACCCTTCTCGGATCCATTGGACGTGCCAGTGGTGGAGATTTTAAGGTATCGTAAGGGTTTTTATCCCCTAACTTTTACATCATTGGACAAATTGACATTTGAAGCGCCAATGAATTTTGCAGAATAAGAATTCCCTTGGTTCATTGCTCTAAAGTTAACCGTTTTCAAGAAAAATAACTTTTTATGAACAAAAACAAATATTTTGCTAACGTTGCTAACTGAATCTTCAATTCAAAAAATAGGTGGTAATAATTAACACTTTTAACGAAATTTAACAACAGTAGCTTTTAATAGTGTTATTGTGTGTACAAAAGTTTTGACCAGTGTATCTCGAAAACAGAAGCCCGGAGAGAAAAATGGAAAAGGAAAAAAATTTTTCTTTCAAGAGGAATTTACAGTTTTCCGTTGGGACACTTATATAGGAACACCCTGTATAGAATGGATTACATAGCGAGTGTTGTAAAAGTGAGACTGTTTTCAATGTGCACTGGGAAATTTTATATTTTTTGCTACATAGAAATGCAAACAAAGTTGGGAGGGTTGAATGTAATGTGATACAACAAATGTGAATGTTTAAAAAAATAAAACTTTTACTTTGTATTTTAGAAACAGTTAGTTCTTATTTTTGGTTAAATAGTCACCTGTACAATTTCATTGATAGAATATTACAACACCGTGTATTAAATTTGATGAAAAAATCATTTCTTTTTCAGCATATTTCACAACAACCGTTCAGATGGTTTATAATCTACTATATTATCAAGTAGTTGCCCAAGTTTCCTGCGGACTTACTGGAGCCGAACGGGCCAGAGCAGCTTCAGGTGCCACCGAAGGTCGAATAACCAACCTCTGTGACTCATTGAATCTCATTAATGAGTGTCTCGGTCAAACCGATTTGTATATGGAAGATGATAGTGAGAGTTGCAGTGGAAAAACACAAGTGAACATTTTGGCTCTAGAGCAACAGGTTAGTTTATCTTGAATCATGTGCTGTGGATTATTTTTATTAAAATTAATTAAATTGTTTAATAGGTTCAAAAGTTATGCTTACTATTTCTTCGAATAGCATCTCTACTTAAATATCACCTATACCAGCAACCGCTTCCGGATATCCGTGCGGCCCAGAGTGAGTTTGTCCGTCTAGTCTATTACCTCGAATTAGTAACTGAATCGATGGATTGGGGATGTTTCAATGCCTCAGTTGCTTTAAATTGGCCCTCGAACACTAATATGTTTACTGATTCACCACGATCTTGGTGTAGTCAGTTTGCATCATTTATTTCTAAGAGCCAGATAGCTGCTAGAAGTTTTTTGGTGGACCAACATATAGTGTGGCATCCGCCCAGGCTATTACAGTTGCCTAGGGAATACGAGAAAATATTTACGGTAAGCGAGAATTATTAAATAATTATGTGTACTCCGACTGCAGAATTCATATAATTTTTGCAGAATTCCATTCTGTTTAATTTAATCTACAGGTAATTTAAATTGTGCATGGAGTACAGGTGATGATTGGATGTCCGAAGAACTTGTATATTTAAAATGAATACACACATACACCCTTGTTATAAATAGTAAGAAATTTAGTACAAATTTAGTTGTAAAAATCTAAAATTTTTGCAGTTTTGGCAGTACCTAAAATGTTTTCAATTTTATTCTCGTAAGCAGACTATTATTTATCAATTAGTGGAAATTTACTAACTTTTCATTCCACGGCCATTCTAGATAGACGTCTTCTAGATATTTAAAATGAAGCAGAAACTGTCTATACTTTACAGTCAAAATTGTAGAGTGACTCAGACATAAAATAAAAACACTATTACCATAAAGCGTATAATATATAAAATGATTTTTATAACAGTTCAATATTATTCATCTTGTATTAAATGTTGTGTCGCTCTCTATGCATATCGATAGGATCTATAATCATCTATAGACTGAATTAGTGAACGTCGATCTATCTTGTATCTCTGTCTATTGCATTTATAGGGAAATGCTTTTTAAGTGGGTGTAAATGTAACGAGCGTTCAAATAAAAACGTGGTCGAAGTTGACTCTGACACATTGGACGTAGGGAGTAGCTTATAGCGACCAACTTAACCTCATTTCTCAACGAGCTGTATAGCAGCTGTCAGTTTCAATAACGTTAATGACTATATAACTTTATTTTAAAGAATAATCGTGATAACAATAACAAACAATTAAAGGAGCTGCGGAAAGTGTCCCCCTCCTTGTTATAACAATAAATTAAAGCAGCTGCTGAAAGTGTCCCTCTCCTTGTTCCAAGCACTTTTCACACCTGTTCCTCAAAGAATTAAAGACATTTTCTAAGATGCTCGGGGTATTGTTAATTTCACGAATCTTGTCTATAAGTCGAGCCTGCAGATGGTTTAAATCAGGAATAGGCAGTTCAAAAATAGTGTTTTTAAGGTAAGGCCACAAAAAGAAATCACACGGCGTAATATCACATGACCTCGGTGGAAATTCATGTTCAGCATTGAGACTTATTAGTCGATTTTGGAAAACTTCCCTCAACATATTCATCGTCTCGCCTGCCGTATGTGCCCTTGCGCCATCTTGTTGAAAGTAAAAGTTTGTAATTTCGTTTTCTTCCAGCTGGTTAACAAAAGGAGCGATAATTTCTTCTCTATACCTTTGCGCAGTAAGAGTACCATTAAAAAAAATAGGTCCATAAATCCTCCTTCGATTGAGAGCACACCAAACTCCAATTTTTTGAGCGTGTAGAGGGCCCTCGACAAAAAAGTTATATGGTTTTTCAGAAGACCACATTCTCATATTCTGTGAGTTTACGTAACCACTTAAATGAAACCAGGCTTCATCAGAAAAAAAGGTGATATTATGAAGTTCACCGTTTTTCTTCAGCGTTGAACCTCCTCAAACCCCCTCCTAATTCTGGAGCCAATGACAAGTTTTTGTCCAAATTTTATAAGATAATAAATAGTTCCCGAGTAATAGATCAGACTGTTTCACTTCTAATCTTTGGAGGATCGTAGAACTCTTGGAAATTCATTTATAAAAAAAATTTCATTTTTTATTGAGAAAGCAGCCTCGAAAATTCATCGCAAAATCACCATTACACCTTATATTACCTGAAATATAATAAACAATTACGAATATACTTATTAACGAGTATATTTATTATATTTAACCAAAATTAGGCCATTTAATATCATTTTATAAGTGTTTTATGTTTATATAACATTTTATACAAAATATCACTTTTAAGAAGAACCCTATATTTGAAAATTCATTACAAAAGTGTGAATTTTATTTTTATTTTTTTCAGTATTACCATGAACGACCTTGTAGTCAGTGCCACTCTGTAGCACAAGAAACAAGTATATGCTTACTATGCGGAACTATAGTATGCCTTAAACAAAACTGTTGCAAGCAACAAAATGTATGCGAAGCCGTTGCACATGCTGCAGAATGCGGAGCTGGAACCGGAGTATTTTTAGTAGTTACTTCAACGTATATAATCGTTATTAGGGGACACAGAGCTTGCCTTTGGGGATCATTATATTTAGATGATTTTGAAGAGGAAGATAGAGACCTGAAGTAAGTAACATTTCATTTAGTAATAAGATTTCACTAAAATATATTTAATTTAAATATGTTATTTAATCGCTTTTATTTTTTTATAAATACAAATTTTAATACCAGTGTCTATACTACAGAGCTTTCATAAATAATTCGAAGCCACGTGACTGCCGTGCTTAGGGAACCAACATCTTTGGGTCACCAATAGACCTTTTTAGTAGTGACGTAACATACGCCAAATAATAGGCAGCCCCAAAGTACACACCGTTATGAAAATTTTCTCAATATTCTTCCCGAACATGCGAATTAGGAATAACACGTCTAATGTTAAATTTTTACTTTATTTAAATTTAAGAATATTTTTTTGTATTGTTTTTTGTAAGTTTTAAGCACATTAGTGTATCTATTTTATGAAACACGTTAGTTGTTCTTAAAACTTCTAAATCCTTGTAAAAATAAGTTAATTTGAAGTTGTTCATTTCTATAGTATCTATGTAAATAATAAACAAGGGTTAGGCTCGATCTGTACAATTTCAACTATGACTGTTTATTTTGTATGTTTCCTAGTTACATAAAGCAAACAGCTTACTGTTTATAATAATTATTAATTTACAAAATTATAAAACTAAGTAAACAATGACATTTTGTTGCGGGTTGCCTAAATATGTGACGTCACACTAAAAGAGTATATTAATTATTTGTTTACAATGAACAATGACAAACCGTTATGTCTATGTTCAAGATAATGCGATCACTGTTTAGTTGAATAAAATCTCGTGAAAAATGAAAAACAGAATGTAGTGTTTTAATTTTACTGAAAAATTGCCAACATGAAGGAAACAAAGTTACTGGTTAGGTGGCTTGTAATCATTTATCAAGGCCCTGTGTAAATTAACGAAAAAAAATCACAAATCACTTCATTTTCAGTATATAGAACTATCGCCAATATATTGAAAATTTTTAAGTTACAAAATTGTTGATAGCAGGTCTAAATATTGTATTTCATTGACTGTATTCCGCTGACAAAATTGTTGGTGATTTTCACCAAAAATAAGAAAAAGTATATGTACACAAATTCCGCAATTCGTTTTTTAGATATTTAATTTTTTCTAGTCAATCTCATTTAGTTTCCTTGATACTAATATCCTATTTGCTGGTTAGTGTAGATCACCAAACTTAAAAACTTGCAACAATACATATAAACAAAAGTGACCATGCTTTAAGTTACATCTAAATAGTTAAAAGATATGAAAATTATTTATTTTTAATTATCAGAAAATCAAAAATTAGTTGCCAAATGATAAAACAGAGAAGTTGTGTTTTTTAACGAAAAAGAATCAGTTGTTTTGGCAAAAAAGATAAATATTATAGTAAATTATTTTGAATTCATGCATTCCGTCCATCTTCAAAATGTGTTAAATAAATATACTGAAAAAAAAAAGCTAAATAAGACCTGCCGTGCACTGGTGTCTTTTTAATCACCACAATTAAATAATTGCATCTTATTCAAAAAGTGATTAAATTGTTGCACAGGAATTCGCATAACATTCATGATTTATAAACTTGACGTCTAAAATTATCCGTGATTTCAAATGTATATCTTTTCTCGTAATTTCTCAATTATCGTTAAAATATATAGTTTCTGACAAAAATAATTTTAATTTTATACTGGTTATCGTCTTAAATTCCATTGATTAATTTATAAAATATGTGAAATTTAATAACCGTAACAATTTATCGAGCTTTGAATGGAAAACGTGATCGCAAAATATTAATTTTAAACTCTCTAGAGCTTCAAAATTTTTATTATTTTTTACGTAGTTGCAATTTGTTGCCAATAATAAGTATAGTACTTATTATTATTTTAATAAAAAATTGCTTAACTGAAAAAATATTTACAGAATATTCAATTTAAAAAATTAGGTATGGTTGCCATGTGCCAATTCTTAATACGGGCATGAACTTATCACTACTTACAATAGTATTGAACTATACTATAAACTATAACAATATTCAAAATTGTATACTATATTGACGCTTTAGTACAAAAATATGCTATCTCAGATTTCGGTTGGAAAACATGCTATCTCAAATTAAGCTTGAAAAACATGCTAGCTCGGATCTTTAAGTAAAAACATGCTATCTCAGTGTGATTATAAATTTAAGTTTGCATATTGAATGATTGGAACTGTGCATTTATAATAAACTTATATAGTATATTTTTCAAAAAGTAAGGAATATTTATGTTCAGGTTCATTGTTTATTTTATTTTTTTCATTCAACATTTTTCAATTAATGTTGCTAAGTTACTGTTATAAACGACAAAATTGTTAATTAAAAAAATAGAATAATATACAGTTTGCTGCAACATGTACATTACTTGACGTTTTTTGAAATAACAAATTATAAAAAAATAGTGTATACCTTAATATATAAAAATGTTTGTTATTACTAACAATTATTCAATTTTTTTCATACAAGTTTGCTTTGATATCAAAATTAATAGCATACTCTTATCTGATTTTTGAACAATTTTGTCGTTTATAACAGTAACTTAATAAAATTAATTGAAAAATGTTGAATAAAAAAAATAAAATAAACAGTGTACCTGAACATAAATATTCCTTACTTTTTGAAAAATATATTATATAAGTTTATTTACTTAAATTTCTAGTCACACTGATATAGCATGTTTTCGTACTAAAGCGTCAATATGTCCACTGCCCCTCATCTCCCGATCTTCCTCCAGTACTCGACCGCGTATGCGCGCTCGGCCGTTTTTGAGCATGTTTGGAGGAATTTTCCCTCTATTTTGCATCATTTTATCAGAAAATTAGAATATACGTTTTTTAGTATCTACTTTTAAAATCCCGCTGAAAAATTAAAATCGGACCACTTCTTGTTTTACTCGTATTTCGATTCTCTACAAATTGTCTCTTTATAGCATTCAGATTGCTTCCTTAATTTTAGGATTTATAAGCAAAAAACTAAAAAAAAATTTGTTTTTTTTTGCATAAAATGTTCATAAAAAATTAATAAATGGTAAATTGGAGTAGGAAACATATGAGCATATATCTACGGACTGTCTTTTATATGATGGCACAGTCCGTTTGCTACTAGTATAATTTATGGAAATCATGAGATATCAGTATCTGGTCATCACACTAGGATTATTATGTGGTCTAAGATTTAGAAAACATATTTTAATGGCCACTTAGCACTCTGGGAAACAAAAGCATTTTTTTTTGTATGCATAATTTTTTAATTTGGTAAATAGTTAAACACAAGCCATTAAAAATTAACCTTTGCAGACGTGGAAAGCCATTGTACCTCAGCAAAGACAGATACCAACTCCTAGAACAGCAGTGGTTGGCGCATAGATTTGACCATACGAAGAAAACTTGGGTACATCATCGAAATGCTCTCTAAAGCGTAACACCAATGGATTACAATGAGATTTTTATTACTTGTAATAAATATTTTTAATGATGTACATCTATTATTTTATGAACTGTGATAAGTCGAGAATCCATAACATAATGATATTAGTTCACTATTTTATTTCCTTTATTCTTGTAGCCTTTTATGTCATCTGTATATTTTCAACATTGTTTACTATTCTAGTCTATTTTGTTTGTGACTATACTAACATTATATTCTATACGAAATGCGTCACTAGTATATATAATATTTAAAAGTATATAACGATTTTTTTTTGTCTGGGGTGTTTTTATAATTGGGTATATTATATTTAAGTGCATTAGGCAATTTTAATTACTTTTTAACATGGAGGAGTGTTTTTCCTGCCATAGTACTTTGACGTTCAGGTTTTCTTTCATTGGTGAATTTGATCAAGTTTGTAAATATGTCACAATTAATTTTGCTTGTTTCGTTTCTTCCTGAAAGTAATAATGAATTAAAAAATTATTATACGAATAAAAAACATGTTAAAACATTTAGCTACGTTGTATATACTTTTTACTAGTTTCTAAGCTCTTGTTGCCAAGTGCATTAGAAACTATAAAGCTTGTGATACGTAATTCAGTGCTTAGCGAATATACAAGGAAAATCAATTACTTTTTTTTTTGTTTAGAATTTCTGCAAATTTGTTTATAAATAGTAAATATTATCCTTAATTTATTGTATAAACATGGTTAATGATCAGATTAATTGTTGAGAACTTGTTTAGTTATGTGGTTAATATTACTGTAAACAAATAAATAATAATGTCGCAACCTCGTTTGATTCTTCATTTGATTAATAGACCAGGCGGGATCTATTTTGGTGCAGATGGTGGTTGATACAGGGTGTTCCGGAAATGGTGGGCAAACTCTCGGATATTTGCCCACCATTTCCGGGACACCCTGTATAGTATTGCAAATTTTTGCTTTAATGGCTCCAAAATGATATAACAAAACATAATTTCAATTTGTTCAACCCTTTCGCTGCGCAGTATGTCTGAACGTAACTACCGCGCCGTGCACGAAAGTTTATCGCGTGCGAATATATACGTCTGGAGCAGTTAGACCACATATAGTTTTACATTATGTTGTGTTAAATTACAATTTACGATAAATTTTACGATTTTATTTTGAATAAAATGCAGTATATGTACTAAATAGAAACGGAAAGAAACATGAACAATCTTGGTATTATTACCAGTACCTCTTTCCATAAAAATATTTGTCACAATCGGTATAAGCTCACCCGCAAAAATTCGCCTTATCAATTGCAATAACCGAGACTAATGCGCATGGTTGCGAATATATACGGTTTGAGCAGCCTGATCCAATTTAACTATTCATGCAAATTAATCCGTCTGGACCAGTTTGAGCCCTATAAATTTTTAGCGAATATATACGTCTGGAGTAGTGAAAAGGTTAAACATTAAAAATTTGTTCAATATATAAATAAATTTTTAAAATCAAATTATCTTCGAAAAAAAGCAGTATACTACATTTTTATTGAATATAAGTTGATTTTAAATGTATATATACATTTTTAAAAATTAAACAATAATTAAATCTGTTCATGATTTCATTTTATTATAAATATAAAAAGTTTTATAAAGTTAAAGAAATTCTATATAAATTAGTTGAGTACTCACGAACGTGGGAGAGTATACAGTTCTTATACAGGGTGTCCCGAAATTCATGCAACAAAATTTGGTCATAGATTCTTAAGACAACTTTAGGGAACCCGTATTTTTTCTTTTTGACATTTGGCCCCCTCTTTCGAAGTTACAGCCCCCTGAAATCTGCCCCTAAGAAGTTTTTTATACCTCAAAACCATCTACGAGAATCACTAAATTGGGTACACAGTGACGTGGAATCTCACAGTGCTACGCTTTTTGGCGAGAAACCCCCTTAAGACACTTTTTCGTGGGCCCCCTTGTCTTTGGAACCAGAAAAATTTGGTCACAAATTTGAATTTTTTTTTAAATTATTGGCTAGAAAGCCATTGAATTTAGAAACTTTTTTCTCTTGATATTTGTTTCGTAAAACGCAATGTTTTTGAGGAAAATGGCGAATCATGATATGCATTCGAACACATTTTGACATTTCTCTCGAAAACATTGCCTTTTACGAAAAAAGTAGTGATGTAAAATAGCATGCTATTTAGTTTTGGGTGATATATATCAAAATATATATCATTATATATATCAGATGAATTTTGTTAAAAAAAAATTATATTCAAATTAGTTTTTTTATATTGCTATATAATGCTTTGCTGATTAATTTGACACCAAATACATGTCATATATATGAACTGTTAGAAAAGTCATCAAGTGATCTTTATTTTTTTCATATTTAGATTGGAATTTTTAATTTTTTTTTTTTCATATTTACATTAAGACACTTTAGAGTAAAAGTAATAATCTATTTGAAATAGGTTGTTGTTTTAATTAATAAATTCATTATAATTATGATGGTAATGACTTCTAATTTTTGTTGCATACTTAATATGATACAATGCCTGTTTATAAGCAAGTACGCTGTTTATTAGCAATTTAGTTTTATCAACCCACAAATAAATAAAGGGAAATTTCTAGAACAAGAAAATTTAGTCTTTGTATATCACAATAGGTAGTTAAAAAAAATTAAAGATAAAAATTGTAATAAAAATTATCAAAAACTTATGATAATAAAGAAACTGCTTTAAAGTAGTACTTAAAAATCTGAAATTTTAGGGGTGTACTATAGATGGGGAGACCTAAGAGCGTACGTAATTTCAAGTCACCCCTTCCACCCTAGGGGGTGAGGGGTGGTTTTTTTAGATGTACCCTATTCTTTTTGCGATTTTCGGATTCTACGCGTAAAACTACCCCCAGAAACGCGTTCTTGCGGGTACGTTTAAAAGACCACCCCCTCTGTGGAAAGGGTGAGTTGAAATCACGTTCGCTTTTAGGTCTCCCCACTTATAGTACACCCCTAAAATTTCAGATTTCTATATTTATTTTTGACAGAGATGTGCCCAAGAACGATGGTCATTGAAAACATGACAAAGTCCATACGAGGGTGGTGGTTTGGTTTTTGTGCGAATACGGCAAGAACGCGCTTTCGGGGGTAGTTTTACGCGTAGAATCCGAAACTCGCAAAATGAATAGGGTACATCTAAAAAACCACCCCTCACCCCCTCTTCACCCCCTAGGGTGGAAGGGGCGACTTGAAATTACATGCGCTCTTAGTTCTTCCCATCTATAGTACACCCCTAAAATTTCAGATTTTTATATTAATTTTTGACGGAGATATGCCAGGTACCGAAGAGCTACTACAGTCCAACCCAAGCCTACCACACAAGTTTTTAGTTTTAAAATGTAAGGTTAAGTTTGAAATTTGGCTTTAGAGATCTTTTAATATCTCATGAGCCGCGAAATGCGCGAAAGGCGTGGCGTATCCCCATAATTCTTCTAATAAGCACGTTGTGAAAACATTGACTCAGAATTAGACCATGTGCCTCATCACAACTAGAAATGAGCTAAGGCGCTCGGGCATTAATAAAGTCAACTGGCGAATGTTCGTTATATATATTTTTATTGTTTAAATTAAATTAATAAAGAATAGGGCATTTTATTATGATATTTGTAATCGGATCAAAGGCTTATTTACGCTAGAGCTCGAGAGAGACTGTGAATATTAGGTGCAATGTTTTTAGGATGTAGAATAATTTAGGCGACGGTGGGAATTATGTTTCTGCGCATATGAAAGTCAAAGCTCATAAGATTTTAAAACATCTCTACTGATGAAATGGCGGGAAAATTGATATATATCAGCTATTAACATATATATAATAGCTGATATATATCAAAAATTGATATATATCAAAAATTGATATATATCAATTTGTTATATATTTTCACTCACATCACTAGAAAAAAGTATAAAGTGACAAAAAGTTTCTAAATTTAATGGCTTTCTAGTGGACAGATAATTTTTAAGAAATTTAAATATGCAACCGAATTTTTTTGGCTCCAAAGACAAGGGGGCTCATGAAAAATTGTCTTAAGGGGGTTTCCCGCCATAAAACGTTGCACCATCAGATTCCACATGTCATAAAACCCCTGTGTACCAAATTTAGTGATTCTCGTACAACAGGGTTCTGAGATATAAAAAAAGATTATTCTTAGGGGCATATTTCAGGGGGTTGTAACTCCGAAAGAGGGGGCCACTTGGCAAAAATAAAAAATACGGGTTCCCTAAATTTTTCCTAAGAATCTGTGACCAAATTTTGTTGCATGAATTTCGGGACACCCTGTATTTTACATTTTTAAAAAATACTTACATTTTCCTAATGTAGCATCCACGTGTAAAATATTTCGAATAATTTATATTGGAATTTTGAGCCGGAAGTTGAAAATATCTCCAATCGATTCGCCATAGTCCATTCACTATTAGGAGGTACTGAATTTTTCATTGTATTGGATACCCTTAATTTCAGAAGGGGTGGATGGGTGGTCTGAAACACCCTGTATATATTATTTTTTTGCAAACTGTTTGTTTCAAGGTCTTCACTACTTCGCTGCCTTTCTTATTTGAAACATGCCAGCGTTCGTAGCGGCCGGGAAAAGTCAGGTTATTCGTCATTCTTCATAAAAAACGGAATTTTAAAATTATTCATGAGTCAGGGAATTTGATGTTTGCAACTGGAAATTTTGTGAAAGCTGTCCGTGTGTTCCTGAAAAACAAATCTATTTGTGGTTTTGAAAACTTTATAACCTTTAGGTATAAAAAAGATTACAGAGACCAGTCTAGAAAAATTTTAATGCATACAGTAAGTAAAAATGTTTATGTCGGGGAAAACCTGAACAAGTCAGGGAATTCTATATTAATTAAACGAGCCTATTTAAACTACTTTTTTCTTGTCAGGATTTATTAAAAGATCTAGAAGAGTTGTATTCAAAAGTTTTTAGCCTTTTGCTATACCATATTTTAGACCTTATTACTGAATAAGGTATAAATAGTAAGAAAAAAAGAAGAAAGATAAATAATAGGAAGAAATAATTTATTGAAACAAATGAAAATATGAACATTGTAGGTGCAGAACCAACTTTTGATAGACCTGTATATTTTTAAATATTAAACACTTTTAGGATGAAAGTTTGGTAATATTGCAATGAATGCAAATATATTTTTGTGAAATCACAAAAAATAAGGTTCATATACATTTTTCCATGGAATTTTTATCACATTTCTTTGTTCTACCGTGAGATCCAGAATGATTGAACCGTTTATTGAATGTAGCCTGATTCTAACACCATCTTTAGCATTGACAGACAGCCACAGGCTGCGATCTCCAAACACTTCAATCATTCTGGATTTCTCTGTATATTATCCTGCATCATAAATCGGGTCAAATGTATTAATACATAAATTATTATTCATCTTGAAATAATTAAATATTTTCTAGAGATGGGAAGGTCTTATTTCTAATATTTCTTAAATCTTGTTTCTCCGTTTTAAATATTTTATTAATACTAGTTTGATTTTTACATTTCATTTCATTTTCATTTCTACTGGTTTTAATAGCTTTGTTTGAAGAACGAGTTTGAAACGGTTTGGATTTGACACCAAATGTGCATGTCTTGTCTATAACTGATTTTAGATCAAATGACAAAATCTATGAACGCATTCTTAAATTATTATCTTGTATATCATAAAAAAAAATTATATTTTTGCAGTTTATCTTTTATTTTTATTATTTTAGGTAATAATAGAAATTTAGTATTAATAATTAATACAATTACTAATCTTTATGAAATGTGATTGATTAGGAAAATTAATTCTATTCTATTCTTTAATTAAATAAAATTAAAACAATGCATCATATTTAACAAAGTATGTAAACATTCATGGTACATTTTCGAGCTCCAGGTTAACATGTCATTTCTCCGGGTGTGTTTTCTCTATTGAGGAGAAATCGTGATTTCGAAAACATTTTAATAAATGTTTTTGAAATAGAACTTTTTTATTTAATAATTTAAACTACTGCGACAAACTTTTTCCCATAGGATGGTTTCAAGCAATACTTAAATGTAACTTATATTTTTTATTTATAATTTATTTATTTATATTTTTGTTGCAGTTTAAAATATACAGGGTGTCGCGGTAAAATATGATACAAGCCTGTAACTTCTTTATTTTTGGCCGATTTCAAAAATTTTTATTTGAGAATCTAGGGTAAAAAAAAACTATCTAACTGTGATACTGCTGTTTTTATTAATGCAATTCACGGCCAACTAGGACGATTGTTATCACAGCCATCTACATTAACGAGCAACGGAAAAGTTACAAACCGCTGCAGTTCTTCTATTTTTCAAATATTATATCGCTGGAAAGCATAAAAAAATACATTTTTTCTAGCTCATAGCTAACTATTGTTTACATTTAAAAAACTTGAAGTTTGTTTGTTATAACTTGAAAACAAAAGTGTACACGAACAATTTGATCACACCCTGGTAGCACAATCGTGTGCAATTCAAAACAAGTTGTTTCAAGTTTACTTGAAATAGCCAAATTGTGTCAGATTGTTTTGTTTCTATTGCTGAAATTTATATCGTTTCTTATGGAAGATACTTTTACAATACTTGCACCAGACTTAACCAAAAGTATTCGAGTCCAAAGGGGTGAATTAGTATAAGTCAAATACAATATGTCTTACTTAATTCTAATGTAAGTCTGCAAGTCACTTGCTTTAATTTACCTCTTTGTGCTCAAGTGCCCTGAAACAAATTCATTGAAAGCTTTGATCAAGACAATTGCACAATGAATCTTGCAGTAAACCTGATGCTGATTTCAGCAGTAGATACACAGCAGTCTTGTTCAAGATTTTGATACCAGGGCAGTATCTTATTAACACTGCAAAAAACTGACGTAATTTAAAATTTTTTTGTAAAATAAATAGCAACGGAAGAACTATGCGCATCTGAAAGAATTAGCCAAATTCGGATTTTTCTAAATATCTAGTCAGCCATGACCTTTTTTTAAAAAATAAAAGTAAAATTTAATAAGGACCATAAAACTGCACATTTTCCTCATTTAAGCTTTTGTATCTCTGCTACTTTCCCCGATCCCTACACTAAACATTGAAAAAACTCACCCTGTATACAGGGTTACAACTTTCGTCTTGCAATATGCAAAATTGTGCAGAATCTTATGGCGATCACCGATTTGTTTTTAAATTTAGAAAATTTTGAAGTTCCGAAGATATTCGAAGAAAACCGATATTATGCTTTCTTTTTTTTACCCACATTTCATTCGTTTTATTTATGTGTAGTCCGATATTAAATGATGTTAGGAATCCATTTTTGCCGTCGGTAATAACGTATTAAAAATGTGCCGAGCTGTAAATATTTTTTTCTTATGGACCATACTAAAAAAAAATTGCACCATTAGACAAAAGGACGCGCGACGCGGCGTTGCTATGGACATCGGAGCTAGAAATTTCAAAGGTAACTTGAACTTAATGGACTAAAACATTTTTATATAATTTATAAAATGATTTTCAGTTCTATATCTCAAAAACGTCCAAGTGTAAATGAATTTTAAAAAAAGCAACTTTTGTTTCGACTCTTCGACCGATCCTGTATATTTAATTCTCTTCATCATAATAGATTTTAAAGAACCCTAAACGGCAGGTAATTTGTGTAATGGCATTTCAATATTTGCCCAAGCCAAAATTGAATTTGAATATAAAAGTGGCTTTAACGGAAAATTTTACTTAGCACCCTCCCATAAATGAAGATTTATCACATTAAGCATTTTTTAAACCTGTAAATTTTATTCAAATTTTTTTGTTTAGGCAACATGATAAGAATAGTAAAATAATACACATAGAGAAATCTTATTTAATCTTAACTCATTCTTACAATTTGTAGTATTTTATTTACCACATTAATATCCTCATTCTACAAAATTAAATGAAACATACAAAACATAACCTAATAGTCACTTAAATAAAAAAGTTTACATACATTAAAAATAGTTTTTTACATAATCATCAGAATGATGGAACTTCATTATTTAAAAAACATTGTTTTTTAACTTGTCCAAAGAAAAGGGATTAATACGGAGCATATCTTCTTGAAGGTGAAGGCCCCCTCAACCCAGGTCTGAAAAACATCAAATACATAAGTAAATTGTTTTTGTTATAAAAATAAAACAGGTTATATCAGCCAGTTGTCAGTAACATTCGAACGAGTGAGATGTCAACAAGTGTTTAGTCACATTCAGTACTCTAGCCAAATTATTCATCATGTTCAAAATATTCTGTTTTTTTTTTCTATTTGTTTAACGATACAAAAATTCCATCTGTAAATAAAATTGGATAATGGAAAATTATTTTTATTTACACGAGTGTAAAATAAAGGAATAAACTTTTAATTATTGAAGTATTCTAATCTCACAAATTTTTTTCTGGAGTTTTACATAACGCTGGGAACATTTGCACCGTTTGGTTATTATTTAACAACTGACTGCTTTTATGCATATTTTTTACATTTTATTTAATGCCATTTACATATGAATACTAGTAAAACAAAATTTTGCAAAAAAAAATAGATAAAAAAATCTAATCAAAACTGTGAAATAGTAATAGCCAAATACCGGAATTGGTTGATTTCGTACTTTTTACCAAACATACCATGGCAATGTAACACATTAAAAGTATAACAAATTCTGATTATATCTTAATTTCTATCAATTTGTTTATTTAATTTTTATTTTTAATTGACAGCAGAAAAAAGGACAATTTGTATTTTTCCATAAATATATTACTTTCTTGCAACAACACAGTAGGCCAAGCACCTTCAGTCTAAATAATATAGTGTCTCATTTAAAATTTTCCATTCTGGATCAACTGTTGCTACTAAGAAAAACAACCTTCAACTGACCTTGGCAATAAACTCCAGTCATATTCAGTTTTAGTTTGCAAGGGACAATAATTGTCACTATCAACCATACCTTTAGAGTAATTTGCATGTATAAATTAAAATCGCCCAACCCATTAAAAAAAAGAAACTAACTTATGGATGCACGCTTTCATACATCACACTAGTAAAATTTTATATATTGATTTACAGGTATACAGGGTTGGGCAAATGTGACGGTACACCTGTGTACAAGGTGAACCATAAGTTTGATTAAAAAATACCTACAGGTTCGGAAGTCTCCATGGTACATCGGCCGTTACGTGAGAGAGATAAAGGAAGTCATAGACAAGGATGGTTACATTGAAGACGTTTCATAATCTGAATAGTCACTCCCACTTCTAACCCGAAACGGTCGGTGACTATTCAGATCATGAAACGTCTTCACTATAGCCATCCTTGTCTATCGCACGGATTTCTTTACTTTACTTTGTCGCTCTCATGTAAAGGCAGATTTTCCAACCCTGTATATCTGACTTGTAGTTACTATTTCTATCTCTTTTGATCTTACTTGTCATATGGTAGTTTATATCATACACTTGGAGGGTCTGTGATTTATTGTTTTTTAAATGTTTAATGTTTTTTATATGTTTAATAAAACAATAAAGAGTCGACTGTTTACATTTTTTGTCACAGCTACCTGAAAAAGTAATCAAGCTTGCTATCTTTTAGCAAATTTTTTTAAAATAAATCAAATCATCTATTCCTGTCAAATGCAGTAAATAGTGACAGATAGTTATTACTTATTAAGATTGCTGTTCAAAGTTATGGCTGAACTAAGTGAACATGAAAGAATTTCATTGTTGATGATGGTTGGTTTTGGAGACAGAAAGAGATCTCTGCAAGATACATGCAATATTTTAATGCAACATTCCCTGAAAGAAATTGCCATATATCAAAATCAACAGTTTCAAAGGCTGTGAAAAAGATTCATGGGAAATGTTAAAAAAAACTTACAAAACCAGTGCACGTAAATCAGCTACAAATGAAGATAAGTCACTAGATGTTCTTCTCAATCTACAAGAAGAACCTCAAGTTCAGTGCCTCAAGTAGCCTTATATCACAATATTAGCGAGAGATCACCAAAATTAAATTTCATCCATATAAGTACATTTAGTACAAGAATTAAACAAGGATGACCCTGATAGGATGCAATTTTGTGAGGAAATGATGAACAACATTCTGTTTCAACGGTTTTGTAAATCGACATAACCGTCGTTACTGGAGTGATCAAAATCCACATTGGATAGAAAAAAATCACTCGATATCCACAGAAATTAAATGTATGAATGGGCCTAATCATATAATAATCATCTGCCCATTCTTTATTAGAGAAAATTTGAATTCTAATCATTATTTACAACTTTTGTGCGAGCAAATTGTTCCAACATTGATTCATTTATTTCCAAACCAAGCAAATTCTGAACTACTCTCAAATGACATTTGGTACCAACAAGATGGAACTCCGTCTCATTTGGACTTGACCTACGTCGGTACCTAAATAATGTATTTCCACATAGATGGATAGGGTGAAGAGGATATACTGAATGGCCACCACGATCACCAGATTTAAGTATGTTAGACTATTTTCTTTGGATCTTTTAAAATCTGTTGCCTACAAGACCTCAGTCGATAGAAGAGTTGGAAGATCTAATGATTGTATGGCCCTTCAAGAGATATCACAGCATGTCATTTAAAAATCTTTAAGGGCCTTCGTTGATCGATTATGAATGATACTGTCAGGCTGCCGAAGGTCACGAGTTTGAACATTTATTATGAATCGTTTTTTAATATTCATGTGCTCCATATTTTGCTATAATAAATTTTATTTTCATTAAATAAAATGTATACTCTATGTATTTCACTGTTTTATTCAACATTTAAAAAGCAATAAGTCGCAGACCCACCAAACCCTATATCATTGTAAGCGGTGAAAATCTGTCTTTCTAAAAATGTGAAACCTTGTTAACGGTTTATTTAAAAAAAACTGCTGACAATGCCGTATCTCAAAAATTAAAGTTCGTCATTGAAAAGAATAAAAATACTATTAAAAACTTTTGTTAAGTGTTTTTAATTAAACTTATGTATGTGTTCCGACACATTTCTCCAACCCTGTATAATGATTTATATATATTTTTACTGTACAGGTAATATCAGACAATGAATATTGAAAAATATTAACAAAATAATTTAATCTTAACCAATTCTGTACAAATTTTTAAATGCTTCGTTACTGCTAATGTAAAGGTAAACACCCACCAGCCCGATTAATATGTTATCTCTTTAAACAAAGATGGTACTTACCGCCTCTCATCGAACGAGTCTCTACTGAAGTCCTCATACATTCTACTTCTGCTCATGCTCGACATCCCCCCTGAAGCAGGTGGAGACCTTCTGCTGAACATTCCATAGTCGCTTCCACCACGGGAAAATCCTGGATCCCTTATACTGCTGCTAAGACTGCTCGAGGGTGGCCCACGTAATCCAATAGATGGCATTGGTGGCAAAGGCTCACGTCTTGGTGGCAATGGTGGTGGGAGAAAGTCCCTGCCTCCCCGCATTCCAATATCGCCCCTCGGTGGCAAACCAGAGTATCTACGTTCATATAAATCTCGGGAATCATCAAAGCGTCTATCATAATAACCATCATAACTGTCCTAAATGTTGGATAATGTAAATTAGTGTAATTATAAATAACTATAAATAAATAACATGGAAGTTTATATAATTATATTTTGACATTACTGTGGTAACAATATATTTTTTTGAAAAATAGTCTTCCATGTGTTATTTATTTTTCAAAACTTTAAAAACGTTCGTTGTTTTTTTTTTTCAAGTTTATACCAGAATATTACTGACAAAATCTTCTAAAAATAAAAATATAAAGCAGGTATAAATCCAAACGGTTGTAGTACTAAGAATACTGTTATAATGATTATAGACGTTTGAAATTTGTTTCAAACTCAAAATAAATCTTATTAAACCCAAAAACAAACCAAAAATAATACCATCTTAATATCCAAATATCACCACTAACGGCAAATGTAAGTGAGGAAAATAAAACATACGGATACGTTAAATGTTAAAGTGAAAAAATGATACGAAATGTATTTACACAATGTTCCAGAAAGATTGATACATTACTTGACTACAGATTTTTGGAATCAAAATAAGATTATTTAGACCAACTTGCTTATATACAAACGTCAACGTCTACTGAGATGGTTCCTTAAGTGGTACCACTTTTTAGTATCACTTTATAGATAAAATTTTTTATTTACTTAATCTTTGTTTACTTAAGTGTAGTATAGTTGTTGAATATGTAAGAAAATTATATACAGGATGATATATTTTTACAATTTCAGGATGATCAAATCAAATCTTGGGAAATGTGTTTTTCTTGAAAACTGAAAATAATATAATTCTGAAAAGGGACACTGTCAGAGGCTATTGCACAAATGTACAATAAAATTTTTTACTTACATACTGACGTGATACTTTGCTGTTGCTTAAAATAATTTTTATTTGTAAAACTTTCTTAGTCTTACTTTGTTGCAATTTAAAGGGGACATTACCATGTACCTATTAGGCATATTAAAATTGTTTCGTGGAGACATTTGTATATAGGTAGTGGATTTAAATTGTCTTATCTTGATCCCAACAGTTTGTGATCAAGCGGTGTCCAAACCTTTCCACGACACCCTGTATGTATGTAGATATAAAATATAAAATCGCGTACCCCAAATCGACCCATCATGCGGTCGCGCAGGAAGGGTGGAGGCGGCGGCGGTGGGTAAGGATCTCTTCCGAACATACGGTCGCGGAATCTGTCTGGTCCCATGCCCTTGGGGCATTCCTTGGACCAGTGGCCGCCGCGGCCACATCGGTAACATTGCTCCGGATCACCCATGCCAGGCCTTTGGCGAACGCGACTCGTTGATACTTGCACCTTCATGGGTTGACCGTCCACCATAGTCCCGTTTAGCTCTTTTATGGCCTCGTTAACGTCGCCCGAAGACTCGAGATGGACGAAACCGTAGTTGCGGACAATGTCGCATTCCACCACGGTGCCGTATTTTTTAAAAAGCTCGCGGATCTGCGGTGCCTTAGTATTATCCGTCAAGTTTCCAACAAAAATCTTCGTAGTTGGCGTCTGGGGCGCTTTCCGGCTCTTCGCCGCCTCGCACTTCATTGGTTGGCCATTCAACATATGCCCGTTTAGGTTTTGAATCGCCTCGCGGCCTTCCGACTCGTTCTCCATATGGACGAATCCGTAATTCTTGACCACGTCGCATTCTACGACTTTTCCGTATTTTTCAAAAAGTGGACGCAGCTCCGTCACTGCCGTTTTCTCGGCGAGGTTTCCGATAAATATTTTGAAAGTGCCCGCGCTGCTAAAACCCGGCATACTTGCGACTTGACTTCCGGATCCGGCCTGAAACTCGCTAAAATGAGAACTTGACTGTCAAGACCTCATCTCATTGCCACCAGATGCTGATATACTAAAAACGCATCATCATGACCTTTGTTATTAAGCATAATATAAAAACATAAAATTATCGCACTTCTGCAGTAACTTTGACAATTGTAAACTGCTTTATTACGCACGTACGGCTGTGGATTATTTGCTAACGGCTGTGGATTTCGTAACTGTAAGAACAGTTGATTAGTTGGAAATCTACACTGAAATGTGAAATAAGAAAAACAAACTGACAACAAACAGAAAATAGAAATCTGTTAACCTCAAACCAGTCACTGTTGGATGACTTTTTAGCTTTTGTGATTACAGATTTTGCGTCGGTGTTCTTGAATGTTGAAAATAGAGGAAAAAATGGAATATTCTAATTTACGATATTACCATCGGAGCTACAACTTTAATCCTAATCGTTTTATTTACTTAATTTTATCTATACATTACTTCCAAAGACGTGCCCGAATATATCTTATTAATATAGTCATTGTTAAAATAGTGTATTTAAATAACGGTAATTAAAAAATAACGTAACTGATGACATACAGGACTTCGACAAAAATCCTAGGGAAATAACGGATATATTCAGAATTAATTTAAAAAATAACCATATCAGGACTTCATGAGTATGTCGCAGATTAGCAGTCCACAGATAAATCTTTAATCTGCAAATAGTTTGGTTACAGGTTCAAAATTCTGCACGAATACAAAATTTCCAGAGTTGAAGATATGTTCTGTAGAAACGATAATTTCTTAATTTGCATACTCCGGAGTATTAGAAACTACGTACTAAATAATACCGATTTTAGTTTATATTTATATACAGAATGAGTCAATTTTGACAGCTTTTCAAAATTTCTAGGGAGATAAACAGTAGTTAAAATATATTATCGAAAAAAAAAAAAAAAAATGGGGCAGGACCTTTTTCATTATTGGCCGCAATTTTTGAAAATTTTTATGCTAGTTTTGTTCAAATTTTTTCGTCTAGTTGCAGACGTGATATTTTTTTATAATTTCTTGTTTTTCGATTATAACCCAAATACCTATACAGGGTGATTCACTAACAATGGGAAAATCGAAAGCTGAAGATACTACACGTAAAATGGTGACCATTGGCGTAAATATGCCTTATCCGAAAGTTGATAGTTTCGGAAATACAGGGTGTTGAAAGTTAAAGTTTTAGATCGTTTTTTGCGATTATTCTGAAACTATGTAGGTTAAGATCTTGAAAAGGACCCCGCACAAATCTTATGGAAATTGGGTCCCGGTCAAATTCTCTGAATTTTTGATATGTGATAGAGTTCATCATACTGGTCAATTGTCTCAATGGCCACAAAGCTCAAAAATGGATAGTTTGGCCGGTACAGAGCTTTAAAGCTCCGAATATCCTCCACGGATTTATGTATATGCGCAGTGTGTATAGACTTTTGAAATAGCCTATTTCATTTTTTTTATTATCTAGGTTTATATTTTTGAGGTTGCTGAATTCAGATCTGTTGTTAGATTTTCAAAATTGACAGTTGGCAGCTGTCAAATAGCTGTCAATGTGCTATAATAAAGCCAAAAACTTGTTTTTTTATGTTTTATCTTTCTTTTTTTTTAGTTCGATAAGTTCAAAGACGATATCAAATCAATAACAATGACTATCGGCAGCTGTCATTTAGCTGTCAACAATTCTTCAAAGTCCGGTAATAAAGTCAAAAAATTATTTTTTGTTTATAACTTCAAGTTTTTTAGATAAGTGAATATAAATATGATATAAAATTATGTAGTCATCAGCTTACAGCTGTCAACAAGCTGTCAACTAACTGTCAAAATGCAATAATAAAGTCAAAAAGTTACTTTTTTTAAAAAGCTTTAAGTTGCTTAGATCACTGAGTTCAAAAGTGATGTCATAAACTTATATCATGTTTGATTTCTTATCCACAAAGTTAAGCACAAAAAATAAGTTACTTGCTCTATTATTGCATTTTGACAGTTAGTTGACAGCTTGTTGACAGCTGTAAGCTGATGACTACATAATTTTATATCATATTTATATTCACTTATCTAAAAAACTTGAAGTTATAAACAAAAAATAATTTTTTGACTTTATTACCGGACTTTGAAGAATTGTTGACAGCTAAATGACAGCTGCCGATAGTCATTGTTATTGATTTGATATCGTCTTTGAACTTATCGAACTAAAAAAAAAGAAAGATAAAACATAAAAAAACAAGTTTTTGGCTTTATTATAGCACATTGACAGCTATTTGACAGCTGCCAACTGTCAATTTTGAAAATCTAACAACAGATCTGAATTCAGCAACCTCAAAAATATAAACCTAGATAATAAAAAAAATGAAATAGGCTATTTCAAAAGTCTATACACACTGCGCATATACATAAATCCGTGGAGGATATTCGGAGCTTTAAAGCTCTGTACCGGCCAAACTATCCATTTTTGAGCTTTGTGGCCATTGAGACAATTGACCAGTATGATGAACTCTATCACATATCAAAAATTCAGCGAATTTGACAAGGACCCAATTTCCATAAGATTTGTGCGGGGTCCTTTGTGAAACTATAATTTTTTAAGCGACGAATAAGATTCGTGTAGCAATTTCAGCGTTGGCCATAGAGGGCGCCACTTACGACCAATTTTACCGAAAATTTATTTAATAATTTTTTACCCTGTATGTCTAATATGAAACTTGATCCAAAACCTGAAAGAGCAATAATTTTTCCATTAATTATGTACTGTTGTTTCATTTCGGTATCTCGATCCGTTTTCGAGAAAAATCGATTTAAAGAACACTATGTTTTGATGATACGAGAAATTAAAAGCGAAACAAACTAAGTGTTTCTTCATGTTACTACAACAATTAATGATAAAACAAATGAAATACGTAATAATAATTTAAAGTAATAATTGTTCGAAGAATCCACCGTTGACACTGATTCACTTTACACGTTTTCCGAGATATCTTGAGGTTTGAAACAACATATTGGGATTGCGTCTGATTTCGCTGGCAGCGATTCGTATTCTTTGGCACAACTCTTCACACGAACCAATAGATTCTTTGTAAACTATATCTTTCATTCAAGACCAAAAAGAAAAATCAAGAGGATTGAAGTCCGGACTTCTGGGTGGACAAGCAAAAATGCTTACATGGCCAATCCAGCGATTTGGAAAAACTACATTTAAATATGCACGCACTGGCCGAGAAAAATACGGTGGAGTTCCGTCATGCATGAACCACATGTCTCTTCTTAAATAAAGTAGAACTTCTTCAAGCCGTGAAAGCATTTTTGCTTGGCCATCCAGAAGACCAGACTTCATCTTCTCGATTTTTCTATTTGGCCTCGAATGAAAGATATCGTTTACAAAGAATCTATTGGTTCGTATGAAGACTTGTGGCAAAGAATACAAATCGCTGCCAACGCAATCCAATATGTTGTTTCAAACTCGAAGATCTCTCAGAAAACGTTGTGTAAAGTGTATCAGTATCGACGGTGGATTATTCGAACAATTTCTTTAAATCATTATTACGTAGGTATTTCATTTGTTTTATTGTTAATTATTGTAATAACATGAAGAAACACTTAGTTTGTTTCGCTATTACCTTCTCGTATTATCAAAACATAGTGTTCGTTAAATCTATTTTTCCTCGAAAACGCATCGAGATACCGAAATGAAACAAGAGTACATAATGGAAAAATTATTGCTTTTTCAGGTTTTGAACCAAGTTTCATGTTAGACATACAGGATAAAAGTTATTAACTAAATTTTCGGTAAAATTGGTCGTAAGTAGCGCCCTCTATGAGCAACGCTGAATTTACAACAGGCATCTTATTCGTCGCTTAAAAAAATATAGTTTCACAAATTTTCAAGTTCCTAACTTACATATTTTCAGAATAATCTCAAAAAAAAAGATTTAAAATTTTAACTTTCAACATCCTGTATTTCCGAAACTATCAACTTTCGGATAAGGCATGTTTACGCCAATGGTCACCATTTTACGTGTAGTATCTTCAGCTTACGATTTTCCCACTGTTAATGAATCACCCTGTATATTTTTTAATGAGACATCCTGTATATTATTTGATATTTGAAATTTTCAAACAATTTAATTTCAAATGATACGTCATATGAAATACAATAGATTTTTCGTAATTCTGTTCCATGAAATAGCGAATTGCAAAAAAAATAAAACATTTCGCGTATATGCTAAATTCTACAACTTTTTAATAGAAATAAACAAACACTTAAAATACATAGTTTCTTTTAAAAGAATCAAGATGTCGAGATGCAATTTTGGCTGTTTAATTTTTTACAAAATTCGAGTCTCAATTACCTTTTCCTCAACCTCAACATACGGAAATTTTCGAAACTGAATCGCTCTCGAGTACACAATAAAAAATTAGAAAATACATATTTAATTCACCATTCTTAACCACCAAATGGATAATCAGAAAAACAACCTAATACCTACCCAACGAACGAACTATGATTAAACCATGAAGTTGGTCCTCCCGATATTCTACCCAAACCTAAATTAGATTCGCGTTTTCTTTGGAAGCAAGCCTATAGTACGATCATATTCGATGCAAAGTAATAAATCATTGCCTGTCAAGGGAACCAATGAAGTACGCCTTTAAGGGTTTTACAAATTGAGTAATTTCTTTATACATTATGAAGGGACGAGGGGATCAGTTCAGGTCTCGCACCCTTGTTGCTACAAAAATTCCTTTATTCTCATAAACTATTTATTTTAAATGTAATTTATTATAAATCCAATTTGTTTCCTAAATTCCACATATGTATTACATTTTACCTCTGTACGCGCCACTGTTGTTTACTTGTTTTTTGGAAGCGCTCTCTAATTGACGGCAAAGCTCGCCAGGTTAGTATTTGACGTATAACCGACCAGTTCGTACACTCGATGCACCTGGGCGACTACAGCTACTACCAGAACACAGTGCGTATGCAGCCGTATTTCAGATTTTACATTGAATTTCATTTTAAATTTGAAATGATTTATCTTACGCCTCCTAAAAATGATGACACGATTCTCCATGGAAAAAAGGCCGACAATTTTTTGCTCTACTTTGCATCGTATACGATCCTACTATAGTATGGATGAGCGACTCAACCACAATGGGAATCGGCACGTAAGTGTTATGTGACATGGACATTTAAGTTTATACATATTTGACGCCATCGGATGTATTTTCTTGGTTTTGGCACTCGACTAATATTTTATTCCTCAGTAAGTATAAAATAAAAGTTATTTGAAATATTCAAGGCATGAGATGTTTGTTTGATCTCAATTTTTGGAATTTAAGTATATCATTTCGGTATACATATTATAACATTAAAAAGTGAGTAGAATTTGTATTCATATTAATATTTATATTAGACAATAGTAGGTATAACAAATCTGTTTTTTATTATTTTAATTAAGCTTCTGTTTTTTTTATTATTCAATATTCAAAAAGATGTATAAAAAAGCTACATCAACCTACGGTGCCACTATAAGAACTCCAGGAATGACTGCACGTGTACATCCTTATTAATATAGTAATTGTTAAGTAACATTACTGCAAGATCCAGAATTCAGTTAAATGAAATATGATAAAACACGTTTTATCAGGTGTTCAAGAGAAGACAATACATAAGAAAACTACCTACATAAACGTATCAACAAAAAAATTAAAGATTGCAGAACAGTAAAAAATATACGAAGCTCGCATACCCATACTATGAAAAAAAAAAAACAAAACGATATACCTGGCAAAATAGGGAGATTACCTCTGAAAAGTAGAATATAGCTACTAAAAACAAAATTTATTATAAGATTTATAAGTATGTATTGAAAGGTGACTAATTCCTCGAGTCGGAGAAATGATACGCACATGCGTCATCTTCACCCTTACAGCGGTCACACGCTATGTTCTACTTCGAGTAAGATTTTGAGGAATTGATTATGAAAGTGAATAACTGTACTTAGTGTACAAATTTTAGCCAGCAATTTTCCTCTAGTCTAGAAACATCGGTTGGGCTATAGCTCTTGGGTACCTGGCATATCTCCGTCAATTTTATGTAAAATTATTGTTTTCAGAGTAGCATAACAAAACATTCTAAGGATTAAATAATTAAATATAAAAAAACTGAAACTGAACTTTACTAGTCTGACCAAATACCGACTAGACGCGCGTCCCCCACATGCCACAGTGGGTAAGTACAGTTTACGACACGAGCCAAATGGTGGAAACACCGGTTCTGACAAATAACAAAAGTACATTACTTAAGACTATTATACACAACGAACATTTTTTTATTATGTCCGAGTTAAGCATAACTGATGTTTTTTTTAATTAGTAACACAGAATCGGCGCCTGACTACACAACTCGTTCATTAATGGACAAAATGGCGGATCATGATGATGCGTCTTAATAAAATGCAATTTGGTTTTTATGTAACACAGTATAGAAAGAAACGGCAGCATAATATTCGAAAAAAGTCTGAATATTAAATATAATTGTATAAGCAAACATTAATTTTTTCAAACAGCGTCGGCGAAAACTCAAAACGGGTCGATTAAGATTTTAAATACGTTTAGTTGTACTTTATAACGAAATGTTAAATAAACCACTTACCTTTAAAAGATGAATTATCGAAACAACGGTCTAATCTTTATTCGAAGAAAACAGTACTGCTTATTCTTTATCTTAACTCTTCACACATCCAAAACCACCGGCAACCATTACACAAATGGCGGACGTGACGACGTGACGCAGAAATCTTCCGTTCTATGAAAAAGAATATGTGGTGGGGGACGCAGGGGGACAGACCAAGCTTCAACTTCGAACTAACTGCGCAAGATCAATGATAATCCTACGCGTTGAGCCCATGGAGACTATACAAGGAGCCCGAACTCCATGTAAACAAAAATCTTACAAAAATAAGAGGGCGCTAGTGTTCCATATGTCCCATATGTAGAGAGGGGAGATAAAAAGCGGCAGTTTGAATTATAAATCAATCATGTCATTTTTGTAATGTGTTAAAAATTTTAAAATAAATAATGTAAGCTACTTTGAATTATATAAATCATGAAAATATGTCATTCCGGACTGTAATTAAACTAAATAGATAATAAAAAATATTAGCTTTATGAGAAGAATTTGGTGTTCGTAGAAAGAAACTAGTTTTCAAGGAATTTATGACGTGATCTTGTTAATATTAACCTATAAGTAAGGTTTATGTTTTTGATAATTACTTTGTTAAAGATTTTAGTTTAATGTTAGTAAAAAATAGTCACATTTTATACAGGAAGTTGCCTTTAAAAAAATAGTAATTCTTGTATTAATAATATGGAATTTTTACTTGTGGTAATAAAAAATAGAATATAAAAAAACTCGGTGTTTTAAATAAACTTTTTAAAATATTACAGATGTCCGATTTTGAGTCCAGTGATTCAGATGACTTATTAGACGCATTGTCCAGCTTGAGTGATGATGAAATAGATTTACTCTAAGAAACAGAAAGAGTAAAAAATAAGAACTACTTTGAAATTACTGTACCTGAATATAGTGGCCAAGTTTTTTTAACATTTCCGTGTTAGCATATGGGAAGTAGCTAACAGAATTGAAGAAAAATTTGCCATTTCTAATTATTTCACCCATGATTCTGGTAAATTTTGCATTGCCTTAAGCTCTACAACAACCAGAAAAGTTACATACTTGCTAAGTAACTTGTCTCCACAAATTATAGAATGGCCGAGATAATGAGGCAGTTGTAATCGAACAATATTTTGCCCAATATGAATTTCCAGAGCAGGTTATAGGAATAATTGATGGGAAAGGAATTCATATAAGATAGAGTATATCACAATCCATATTTTTTTGAATAACCAATAATATACTATATTATTATAGTGTAACTGAAAACTGACTATGGAAAGTCGATAAATTATGGTTGGACAATTTCTAAGCTGATTGCCATGTTGTCGGTTTAGACTTCTCAATGCTTCGAGAGTCATATCGCTCTCTTCTCAAAATGTCAAGAAGCTTAAAACAACATGACAACCAATTGATACCAAAATTTTAACAAAATATAGGTACTCCATTATAAAGGTCACAAAAAATAGGTAATCTAAATATTTTATAACTGTTTAAAATCGATTAGTTTTCTGGGTATATATTTTAAAATTGCTGTAAAATTTAATTCTACTTTCGTAAAATTGTTGATTTAATTCGAACGTAACATGGTTCCATGACTTATTCCAAGGTAGAGTATAGACCAAAATTAATAAGGTATTATAAAGAAATATTTTAGCAATGTTCTATATTTTTGTTATATATTTTGTAAAAATAAAATGTTTATCTACCAAAGATTTCAATGTTTTATTAATTGAATAAAAAAAACGAAATTATTTGTGCCTAATTAAAATAAAATAAATATTTATTCATAACAAACAAGTAACAAAGTAAATATATATTACAAATAAAACAACTTAAAAATAAGTAATACGTGTCAGTCTATCTTCTTAAAATTTCATTTTGTTCATGAAGCAATTGATTTCCATGTTTAAATATTTAGTAAAAGTAGTCAATTACCAATACAGATCGATCAGCATCAATTACTACACGTATCCTCTCTTTAAATTTTATATGATATCTGAATTTCAATCAGTTTTTTACTAACAGGAAAGAAACAGCAACTAATTGGAAATGATTTATTCAATTCAGTAATGATAATAGCGATGTCACCAGCAAGAATTATATGAAAGATACGAATTTAATTATTTATGCACGTAATATAAATTACAAGAATATGTAGAAATAAATAAAGTATACTTTGTTGCTATTGTCAATATTATGTGAACATATTCATAGTTGCTTTGTCGAGACCTCATCACACGTCAACAGAACTTTTCTTTTATTAGATTATACAGGACAGGATGCTCACTTTCTAGTATAATCTCATCGTAACTTAATTGCTCTTGATTTACTTGCTGTTCTTGTTGTTGTTGTTGTTGTTGTTGTTGTTGTTGTTGTAACTGTTGCTCTTGTTGTAGCTGCTGCACCTGTTGTTGCTGGTGTAGCGGATGCTCTTGCTGTTGATGCTGCTGCAAAATATATAAAGAAACAATGCATCATTCAATTATACAATATTTTCACTTATGAAATCTTTCTATTTAAAAATTTCTCTACCGTATTAAGAATCAAAGAAGCTGCTTCCAACTTCCGAATTATTCGACCTTTTGCCATAATATTAACCCACTATTCGGTCAAGTTGTAATATAGAACTGCTGGACATCATTAGATTGAAAATGCAGATCACAAACGTACTGTTTTATTTTAAATCTGTTGACAGTCATTCACTTCACATACTATTACCATATTTAAATTATTTTCGAAACTTTTTATTTACCATTTATAAAAACAAATTGTAATAATTATTGACTTGACTTCTAGTTTTTAGGTTAGTATACCTCCCCGCTCCCCAATATATCTATTAAACTCAATATAAATAAAATAAAATTGGTTATTTGCTTACTTTACTCGTATTTATGAAGCTACATTCATTTGGGTCATATGGAACACTAGCGCCACCCCAACTTCTGCCATTTCTTAAACAAATTTTGTCAATTTTCCCGTATGAGTTCGGGCTCCTTATCTAGTCTCCATGGTTGAGCCGTTGAGGTGATGAGGATTGAGGACTGAAAACAAGGAATGAAGAATGATGTAAATAAATTATGACGTGATCTTAAGTGTCACCTATAAGGTCTATGGGTGAAACAGTACAGCGCTGCAAACTTATGTCGACAAAAAATACTAAAAATTCCCAAGCATACTGTAGCCTAAACACAAACCTAAAGAAATTTAGAATATTGCTAATCAGTAATCAGCCTGCGATTGTAAATTTGTGAACTATCTAGACGGTTTAAAACGTTTGCAAAGTGCTTTTTATGTCGACATGGATACCTATAATAATCATTAATTCTCAAATCTAGTTCGGGCTGTTATAAGTTAAATACAAGTACTTTAAATTTCACTGTTTTTCCAAAAAAGTCGACAAATAAATTTTTCATTTATACGACATTAATTAAATATCTATTGGACCTTAATAATAATAAATCAGCCATTTTTAAATTTGTAGGCGATAGGAAATGTATAATTGGTTGCATAATGTGCGATAATTCATTAGAACATTTTTTTTAAACGGTGCGCAATGAAAATATTTCCATTCAAATTCAAGTACAGGATGAAAATATACTCAGACTCACTACTCAGTGCGACTTGAGTATAAAAATAGTCGAAAACGCTGTTACTGGGGGAAGTCTTTTTCTGTATAATAAACTTCCCGAAAAATTAATGCTTGATACATAGACAATATAGTTTATTGCCTCAGACCGCGCTTTAAATACGGCCTTTTTACTATATGACGTCACACACCTCTAGTTTCCGAAATTTATTTTCAACATACGGACTTCAGACCTTTTGCATTCAACGCAGAAGGGACAATCAATTTCTGGGTTGTGGGGGAGGTTTTCTTAATTATTTTTTCGATTCAACGCACCGTTTCCGAGTTATACGGCCTTTTTACTATATGACGTCACACATCTCTTGTTTCCAAAATCTATTTTCAATATACAGACTTCGAACCTTTTGCATTCAACGCACAAGGGATAATCAGAACTAGGGTCGTGGAGGAGATTTTTTAAATTATTTTTTTCGATTCAAACCGTTTCCGAGTTATAAGACCTTCTTTACTGTATCATCTCACACACCTCTTGTTTCCGAAATTTATTTTCCACATACGGACTGCGGACCTTCGCATTCAGTGCAGAAGGGACAATCAGGACTCAACGTACCGTTTCCGAGTTATAATTTTTTTTTTATTTTATGTCACACCACACCGTTGGTGCCGATTTTTTTTTTCGACAAGCGGATTTCGGACGTTTTTCACTCGATCACCAATCAGAACCATGAGAGATTTTTTCATATTTTGAGTAATTTCCGGGATTCAAGCAAATACTGCTTTTTTTCTTTCATATATTGTGACACCCTGCTCTGCCTCGCCCACCGACTGCTCTACTCAGAACCAAGGGGACATTTGTTTATATTTCCAGCCTTTTCCGAATTATGAGCAAAAACCGTTTATTTATCATTATGAGAATAACCCATTTTAATTTAAAAAAATAAAAAAAATAAAATGAGTTATTCTGATGACCAAAAATAAAACATAATTAAACTGTATTATTCAAATACCAACAATGTGCAAAAGTTCTTCAGAAATATCGACAAATTTATTTTGGAGGACGAATCCCGTCAACGAACACTGTAAACAATATTATTAGAAACCTTAGGTGCCCAGAAAACAGCCCCGATCTCAGTTCTTTAGACATATTTTTGAGGGACACTTCAACAAAATTTATTACTATACTCCGCGGTCGAAATTATAGAGAGTGACTCATCGCTAGCTTTTGGACTAGTAAGGGGGATGAAGCGTGCCGGGAACGAAAATCCATTAGCGTGCCTGTGTAAAAGGCAGCAAGATATAGAAAATATTGAAAAAAGATAATAAAACATAACATCTAATATTTTTTTACGGTTTGCTATAACCGGCACTTTGTTTCATTTTAATTATTGCATTTTAAAACGTCTCAGTTGTGTTTTTTTAATTTATAAATTTATTATAGCAATGGAATTAGACCCCTCGTCTGCGCTTATGCTATGACGTTTCTCAGGACGGCTAAATCAAGTCCGTTTCCACAACAGACCACCTAGACTGGCCGTATCTAATT